GGTGAAGCTGCCGTTGGACAATTGTGCATCTCACGGACCAAGTAAAGTTTAGGGAGGGACTTGAGCTTCAGGGAGTTGGGGTTGGGTATGAGGGGAGGGAGGGGTAGTTGGGGTCGCTTAGCAACACTGTTCTGGGTTGTTATGCAAAGAAGGGGGTTTGTTTTGTTCAGGTGTGATTTTTTTCAAGACAGCTAGTTTAAAGGGTTCAGATATGTTTTGTAATACTGAGTGCCTATGTATACATCTGAGTGGTGTAATGTTTTTGGCGCTGACCAGGGTTGTAATGGATATCTTTCCTCTACTCTTTTTTCCCCCTTTTTTTAGAGATGAATTAAGATAATATCATGGAACATAAAAGGATGCAGAAACCCAATTAAAAAGAAAAAGGTTTTGACATACCTTAAATCAAAGAACACAGACATAGCCTTTATACAGGAATCACATGTTGCAACAGAGGAAGAGGCAAAAGTTACGGTCGGGGCCTTCCCGCTGGACGCAGAGAAGGCCTTTGACCGGGTAGAATGGGGCTTCCTCGGGGATCGGAAAAAATCGTAAATCAAATTAAAGCAAATAAAATTGGAGAATTTATTTTTTGGCCATATCGCCCAGCCCTAATTCGAGGTAACAGATATCAGAGTTGTCCATGCAGGGGGTTTGGAGAATAAGTTACTTCTGTATGCTGATTACATCTTAGCAGTGCTAACTGATCCAGTGCAATTCATACCCGCCTTGCTCACATGTGTTGAGTCGTATTCAGGCTGTCAGGTTACAAAATAAATTGGCACAAATCAGAAGGCATGCCCCTCTCAGCATTGTGTCATTCTACAGATATTCCTACATTCAATTTCAAGTATTTACCTTCAGGAATGAAATATTTAGGAATATTATTGATCCAAACCTGGATAATATACTGCTTTCAAATATGGAACCTCTCCTCCTAAAGATAAAAACAAATTTGGACAAATGGGGAAAATTTAATCTCACACTGTGGGGTAAAATTAATGTAATCAAAATGGTAGTGGCCCCGCAGTTTAATTACGTCTCCATGATGATACCTGTAAGTATACCTGTATATATATTTAATCAATTTGAGAGGATAATTAGGGACTTTTTTGGGAAAAAAAGAGGCCGGGAGTAAATATAAAGAAAATGTGGGCCCCTGGGGACGCTGGGGGAATGGCTCTTCCAAATGTGAGACTGTATAATTTAGCATTTTAAATGTCAAGACTGGTCAAACACTGGACAGGACTGGACTCTAAACTGAGCTGGATCAAGATTGAACAGGACCTAGTGAGCCCTTTTACACCCATGGATGTTCTCTCACAGGGATCAGCTAATAAAAGACAGGACTGTCACGATAACCCGGTGCTCACCTATTCTAAAAATGTTTGGGCGGAGGTGCACAAAATGTGTAGAGCATCTCATTTAAGGCAACCTTATGCATCACTGTGGAATAACCCGGCAGTGAAGATTGAGAAGAAAATAGAATAGAATGCCTTTATTGTCACTATACAGGTGTAAAGTGAGATACAGAGCATCTCCTACTCAGTGTAACACAAACATACTGGAGGGGGGGGGGGGGGCACTTCTGCAGCGCTATATACATATGGACAGTAAGTGTTATATACAAATTATTGCACAGTATTGTTACAGTTCTGCAGCGCTATTTTTATATGGACAGTAATGTTATGTATATACAATTATTGCACATGGAATTTGGTATCAACAGATAATGGTGGTCAATGGAGGAAATGGGAAGTGGGGGGCTGTGTTATCGGTGCACGTGTGAGTTCAGGGTGGTTATTGCTTTGGGGAAGAAACAGTTTTTGAGTCTGTGGGTTTTTGTATTAATACACCTGTAGCGCTTCCCTGAGGGAAGCAGTCTGAACATGTTGAAGCCAGGGTGGGAGCTGTCCTTGATGATGTTTGCTGCCCTACTGAGACAGCGGGAGGAATAAATGTCCATCATGGAGGGGAGAGGACAGCCGATGATCTTCTGTGCTGTCTTGACCACACTCTGAAGCCTCACTCTATCCGCCTTGGTGCAGCTGCCGTACCATACCGTAATGCAGTAGGTTAGCAGGCTCTCAATGGACGAGCGGTAGAAGGTCAGCAGCTAGCCGGTGTTCAGTTTGTACTTCCTGAGGACTCTCAGAAAGTACAGCCGTTGTTGGGCCTTCTTGATGACCTCTGAGATGTTTTCCGCCCAGGAGATGTCATCAGAGATGAGGACACCAAGGAACCGGAAGGTGTGGACCCTCTCCACACACTCCCCGTAGATGTAGAGGGGGGCCAAGTTGGTGCTGTGTCTCCTGAAGTCGACAATAAGCTCTTTCGTTTTCTTGGTGTTCAGGGACAGGATGTTTTCTGAACACCAAGCTGCCAACTTCAGGACTTCCTCTCTGTACTCTGCCTCGTCCCCCTTCGAAATGAGTCCGACCACCGTGGTGTCATCAGCAAACTTGATGATGAGAGTGTTATTGTGGGTCGGACTGCAGTCGTGGGTGTACAGAGAATACAGGAGGGGGCTCAGCACACAGCCCTGTGGGGAGCCGGTGCTCAGTGTGCGAGTGGAGGAGAGATGAGGGCCGAGTCTCACAGTCTTGGGCCGGTTTGTGAGGAAATCCTTTATCCAGGCACATGTGAGAGGAGGGAGGCCAAGAGTGACCAGTTTGTTGATGAGGATGTCTGGGATGATTGTATTAAAGGCTGAGCTGTAGTCCACAAAGAGCATTCGGACGTAGCTCTGCCGCTACTCTAGGTGACTCAGCACAGCGTGGAGGGCTGTGGCAATGGTGTCTTCTGTGGATCTGTTTGCACGGTATGCAAACTGGTAGGGGTCGAATTCTGGGGGGAGGTGATCCTTTATGTGCTGAAGGAGTAGTCTCTCAAAGCATTTCATGATTACCGGTGTGAGGGCCACAGGGCGGTAATCATTTAAGCTGGAGATGGGAGACTTCTTCGGTACTGGGATGATTGTGGCTGATTTTAGACAGGACGGGATGGCTGCCTGTTCCAGTGAGAGGTTGAAGAGTCTGGTGAAGATGAGGCTGAGCTGGTGTGCGCATGCTCTTAGTACTTTACCAGGTACTCCGTCTGGACCGGCCGCCTTCCTGGGGTTCACTGCTAGGAGCACACGTCTGACATCGTGCTCCGTTACAGTGAATGGAGCGGTGTAAGAACCAGGTGAGGATGAGGATGGTAGCAGGGCTGAAGCAGATGAGTGTTGCTGCTGTGGTGTTTCAAAGCGGGCAAAGAAGCTGTTTATTTCCTCTGCCAGCTGCACACTCAGGTTTTCAGTTTTTGCAGTGCTGCTTCTGTGGTTGGCGATGTCTCGCATTCCCTGCCATACCTCTCGTGTGTTGTTGCTGGACAGGTGGGACTCGATATTCCTTTTGTGGTCTGACTTGGCTTTTTTAATCCCCCTTTTCAGGTCAGCTCGATCAGCCCTGTACAGAGCTCTGTCACCTGACCTGAAGGCGGCATCACGGGCTTTGAGGAGTGAGCGGACCTCGCTGGTCATCCAGGGTTTTTGATTTGGAAAAACCCGAATGATTTTGTCCACTGTCACATTTGCAGTACAGAACTTGATGTAATCCAGTACTGATCCTGTGAAAGTTTCTAGGTCCTGGTGTTCAAATATGTCCCAGTCTGTCTCTGTGAAGCAGTCTTGTAATTTGTTGAGAGCATTTTCTGGCCAGGTTGTAACAGTCCTTGTGGTGGGCCTGGCACTGCGCCTGAGGGGGGTGTAGGCCGGGGAGAGCAGGAGAGAGAGATGGTCGGACTGACCGAGGTGGGGGAGGGGTATGGCTCTATATGCATGCTTGATGTTGGAGTAAACATGATCTAGAGTGTTTTCTCCTCTGGTGGGACATTTGACATGCTGATAGAACTTTGGGAGTACAGTCTTTCTGTTGGCCTTGTTAAAATCACCTGCAATAATGTGAACCCCATCTGGGCGGGCCCGCTGCTGTTTGTTAATGGTGTCCAGCAGGATAGAGAGCGCCATGTTTACGTTTGCATTAGGTGGAATGTACACAGCCGTGATGATCACTACTGTTAGCTCTCTCGGTAAAAAAAAAGGCCGGCATCTCACCGACATGCACTCGAGGTTCGGGGAGCAGTGACTGTTTATAATTGTCCCGTTGTCACCAGCTTTCATGCACGTAAATACAGAGCCCTCCCCCTCTGCTCTTACCGGAGTCCTTTGTCCTGTCCCAGCGGAGCAGAGTGCAGCCTGCTAGCTGAACGCTAGCATCGGGTATTCCTGGGTGAAGCCAGGTTTCAGTAATAATTAAGGCACAGCAGTCACGAACATAGCGATTTCCCAATAGTTGTAATTCCAGGTCGTCCGTCTTTTGCACGAGGGATCTAGCATTGGAGAGATAGAGGCTCGGCAGAGGTGGCTTGTGTGGTTTGTTTTTTAGCCTCAGCATGATGCCGGACCTGCAGCCCCGCTTTTGCTTCCTTTCCCTCCGTCTGCGCCTCCGCTTAGTCCCAATAACAATCCACGGGGAGCCCGGTGGTCTCGCCATATGATCTGGGATGTTGTGCGTGCGAAGGAAGTTCAGTGAAACAGATGTTTGATGCTGATCACCAATGTCTATGGGGCTCTGGCGGGTGTAGCAAACTTTGAAAGTAGAGCCGATGGTGCAGAAAAAAATATGAAAGACATACAAACTAAGCAAACTAAACAAAAAAAGGGAGTACTGAGCCGGAGAGCCGTGAGCCGCTGCAACCGTGTGCGCCGCCATCTTGTGGCTGTATGCTGGAACGAATAGTTTGTCAAAGGTATACACAGGGTAAAGGATCTTTTCTCGGGGGAGTCTTCATCTCCTTTACTGAAGAACACAAAAATATGGTGTGAACAGGAAAAATAATTTTTGGAAATATTTACAAATAAGGAATTGTATTGCTGAAGGAAAGTTTACTCAAAGTGTAAATACCGTAGTGGAGTTTTTAGAATTATATCAAAAAGACATTCTGACTTTGTTTTCTAGGCTATCCAGTAATGATCAAAGCATCAGCTGGAGGAGGAGGTAAAGGAATGAGAATTGCCTGGAACGATGAGGAGACCAGGTATTGTTGATCTGAATGACTGTATTTCTTTTCATTTTTACTTGTATTTTGGCATAAAGACCAATTACAACTGCAAAGTTATAATCTTTTCTCACTGCATGCATTATCTGCATGATCTAGTGATCAAACATGTTGGAAAGCCTCAGTAACATTAAGTCAAACTGTAATTTTTCTCCATGTTATAAAATGCAAATACTATATATATATATATATATATATATATATATATATATATATATATATATATATATATATATAATGTGTGTAAATATATAATATATATATGTGTAAATATATTATATATATGTAAATATATATATATGTGTATGTAGATATATGTGTATGTAGATATATGTATATATATGTGTATGTATATGTATATATGTGTATATATACCGTAAATCCTCTAATATTGGCCTGTGTTCAGTTAACGGCCGGGTATCACATTTTGGCTGGTGTCTGAGTCGGCGGAGTTGAATAATGGCCTTTTTTTTATTATTGTGGCCGGGTGGAATGTGGTAACAAGCAAGTACCACAGGGGGGCGGTTGTGTCATCCGTCTCACTTTTGATTTGCCAGTGATAGACCGCGAGGGTAACTTTAGCCGTTGCAGGTGCGGAGACGAAGAGGAGGCGAAAATTTGATATCAAGTTCAAAGAGAACGTGCTGATTATGCTGCAGAACACTCTGGGGAGCAATAGGGGTTGTATGAACAAGTCACTAGTCGACTTCACCGCTCTATAGTGACTTTTTATGCCTGTCATCGACTAGTCGCCGTCACATGATAATGACCAGCAAGATGCAGTCCTCGGAAAATACAGCAGCCTGCTGTCAGCAGGTGACAAGCTCCTGTGTGTCGGGAGGCAAAGCGCTGTGCCAGAGCGTCGGTACTGACACCCGCCGTAAAACGGACATTTAACCAATTTGTGACCTTTACCCTCTTGCAATTTAACCTTCCCCTCACCCCCATCCTAACCTTAACCAGCTTGCGCATGCAAAGCTCTGATTGTTGACGCTCTCCAGACATCTGCATCCTGAGCACGGCCACAGTAACATTATCAAATCAGGTGTCGCCACCTCAAAAAATAATTTAATACGCGATCGTTCATGTCGGCTCATTTCCTTTTATGTTTTCTGTCATTTATTCTTTTATTTGTGCCTGATGCGTTTCGCTGCTGTGAATCGGGGCACATCACCTGTTTTGTCCTCCGGTGACGCACCTAACTGATGCTGCCGGCGAGCAGCACGCACTCCGCTGCTTTTGCGGTCGATAGATCTTTTAGAACTGCAGTTCAAAGGCAACTCATAAGGTGAATATATATGAACCCATGTAGCAGTTTTTCTTTAGGATTGAGAGGAGATGCAGGAAGATAATAAACAGGCAGGACAGAAAAATAGTCAAATAAAAACAAGTTAGTTTTTGTACCTGGTGGTTGCAACAAACAGACGCCATTGAAGGTAATCAGAAGTGAGGAACAGAAAATGAAATAATTATTTTAATGTTTAGAGCAGCAGGAACTCTGAGAGGCTGCAGGCGCATCAGTGAGTTTGCGGCTGCTGCCCCGGGGTGAGGGGGGGGAGATGGCTGAAGCAGAAACTACTGTTGTTAAAAGAAATGTGTTTAACTTAGAAAATGTGGGCGCAATTTTAATTGTCAAAAACTCCAGCGAACCATTAGTTCATTTAGCTCAAATAGAAATTGAGGCCTGCCTCTAATTCTGGTCCTCCTTCCAATAAAGGCCTGGAGCTTGATGAGCTTGAGTAAAATACAGGCCCGGGCCTGTATTAGAGGATTTACGGTATATATATATATATATTATCAGGTCATACACCTGGAGCAGCTAAAACTGACGATGAGTGACCAGGCGTTTTTTTCTGATGTACCCACACGCACTGTTTGTGCCCACACTTTCTAAATTAACATGTCTCTTTTAACAACGATAGTTTCTGCATCTTTACTGTTCCCCTGCTTCAGCCCTCTCCCCCCTCCCCCTGTGCAGCAGCTGCAAACTGATGCGCCTGCAGCCTCTCGGAGTTCCTGCTGCTCTAAACATTAAAATAATTATTTCATTTTCTGTTCCTCACTTCTGATTACCTTCAATGGTGTCTGTTTGTTGCAACCAGCAGGTACAAAAACTAACTTGTTTTTATTTGACAGTTTTTCTGTCCTGCCTGTTTATTATCTTCCTGCATCTCCTCTCAATCCTAAAGAAAAACTACTACCTGGGTTCATATATATTCACCTCATGAGTTACCTTTGAACTGCAGTTCTAAAAGATCTACCGACCGCAAAACCAGCGGAAAGCGCACTGCGCGCTGGCCGCACCGGAGGACAAAACAGGTGATGCGCCCCGCTCCACAGCAGCGAAACGCATCAGGCACAAATAAAAGACAGAAAACATAAAAGGAAATGAGCCGACATGAACGATTGCGTGTTAAATTTGTTTTTGAGATGGCGACACCTAATTTGATAATGTTACTGTGGCCGTGCTCGACCGGAGCTTTGCATGCTCAAGCTGGTTAAGATTAGGATGGGGGTGAGGGGAAGGTTAAATTGCAAGAGGGTAAAGGTCACAATTTGGTCAAATGTCCGTTTTCTGGCGGGCGTCAGATACCGATGCTCTGGCACAGCGCGTCACCTCCCAACGTGCAGGGGCCAGACACCTGCTGTCTTTTGCAAGGACTGCATCTTGTCTGTCATTATCACGTGACAGCGACTAGTCGATGAAAGGCATTAAAAGTCACTACAGAGGAGTGAAGTCGACTACTCGACTAGTTGATGCAACCCCTAATACATACATACATACATATATATATATATATATGTATATATATATATATATATATATATATATGTGTATATAAATATGTGTGTATATATATATATGTGTGTATATATATATATATATATATGTATATGTATATGTACACATGTATATATATATGTATATGTACACATGTGTATATATATGTATATGTACATATACATATATGTGTATGTATATGCATATATATATATATATTTATATGCTTTAGCCACTCCTCCAGTCTGGGGGTTCCTGCCTCGAGTGCCCTGATGACCACGAGTCCCACCAATGTCTACTCTCCAGGCTTTCTCAAGTTCTTCTTTGAGGATCTTGGATGTTTTCTTCTGGACATTGGCTCTCACACTCTCAATCGATCAATCAATCAATCGATCAATGAATCAATCAAAACTTTATTTAGAAAGTGTTTTTACTACATAAAATGTCAAAGTGCTTTATAGAATAAAATGACCCCTCATAACCCACATTCCCTCATTTATATCATTTTCCCCACAAAAATAAAAACAATAAACTAAATTATAGCCCCTTCCCCAAACCCCTTTCTCACACACACACACACACACACACACACACACACACACACACACACACACACACACACACACACACACACACACACACACACACACACACACACACACACACACACACACACACACACACACACACACACACACACGCACGCTAAAGTGAAAGGACAACTGGCTGAGTACAGATGCAATAGGAAATAAAGAAGACGGAAATGCCATCTAAAGGAGCCAACTGCACTTGGAGCAGCAGGATCAGCAGCAGCAGCCCGGGCACCGCCACAGGACACCAAGACGAGACACGAGAAGCACCTCGGCAGCCACAGCCAACCGCCTCTCCAGGGGCAGTTGGCCCCTACAGAAGAAACACTGGTTAAACCTGAAGAGATTAAGATATCAAATTAAGCATTAACACCAGTTAAATAAAAGTCTAATTAAAACACTGACAACAAATAACCAAGTAGAAAGCAACAATAAAATTTATAAAAATTATATAATGCAAATAATTCATACTGGTTAAAACAAGTTGATATATAAGAAAATGTGTCATTTAATTAAAAGAGTAATTAATAAAACTCTGGTGAAATATATAATGATGGATAGAATTGATCTAATTCGGCTAAAAGCTATACTAAAAAGGTGAGTCTTGAGCAGTGTTGGGAGTAACGGTGTTTAAGTATAACGGCGTTCTTTTTTAGGTAACGGAATAATCTAATCACTTTTGCACTGTTGCAACGCCGTTACCGTTACTGGGGACGGAAGGTTGTGTGTTACTATGTGCTTGTCGAACGTTGAGCAACAGTGGGAGGCTTTCTGACCGCCACACTTCAGCTGCAGCCAGGGAGAGAGAGATGTCGGTAACGCATTTACAAACACGATGATGATTGGCCGGGTGGGCGGAGACCCTCAGTGTTTTCACTGTTTCAGTCACAACAGAGCAGTGATGGGAATAACGCAGTAAAAAAAAAAATTTTTTTTCAGTAACGAGCAATCTAATTAATTACCATCTTCTTTTATCAAAAGAAAATGTGTGTGTTAAGCAGCACGGTGTGTTGAAGCTGTCATCAGCTGATCAGGAGCTAATGAAGCAGATGTTTTCATCCAAGCGCATCAAGAACGAGGAAGATGTGATGAATACTCTACAGCTGCAGGTGGGGATTTGCAACCGTGCCCTTCTTAGCATGACAGCGGGACTTCCCGAAGGTCCGCTCACATGTTCACCGATCAAACGTCACAATCTTCTACCATCCTGGATGATCCAACTGTAACCTGTTCCTGATCATGTGTTTAGTCCCGCTGTAACTGATGCATCAGTCTCAGCCGTCATGGAGCTCAGGTGTTGTTAGAACTACCTGTGTGTCTTTACCACCCAGCTTCAGCTCTTCTGTGTTTGGGTCTGACCCAAGTTAGTACATTTAAGCCCTCCATCAGATTTGTGCCTGTTCTATTGTAATTTTAAAGGATTTATATTTATTTATTTAACCGTTACTAGATTAGCAGCAACAGAAATGCTACTAAAACACATAATTATGTGAAGCTGGAAAAATTTAAATACTGTGCAAAATTACATTTATTTCTGTAATTTAACTAGACTGAGAGACCATTTAAAGGCTCAGGAACCTTTACAGGTGTTTCTATTTGCAATTTTAAATTTTAGCTGATTGGGGTCTTGTTAAATATCACACAGTGACCTTTTAATAGTCTAGATTAGTGTAATGTTCCTATTAGTAGTTCCTCCTCTTAAGTGCTTGTTTATTTAAATTATTCAGGTTTATAAAAAACATTTGGGCATACATTTTATTATGTTCCAGTCGTTAGTCATTTATATTTCACTATTGTAGTAATTTATAGTAAATGAAGTAAGTTTAATTAAGAGGGGAACCCATTTTCTTGCATTCTTTAATGAAAAAAGTAACTAAGTAGTTATTTTTCTTGGTAATTAGTTACTTTTAATAATCTCGTAACTCAGTTAGTAACTGAGTAACTTTTTTGATAAAGTAATCAGTAACTATAACTAATTACTTTTTAAAAATAACGTTCCCAACAGTGGTCTTGAGCCTGGCCTTAAAAACATGAACTTTCTCTGCAGCCCTGAGCTCCTCTGCCAGACCTTTCCAGAGATGAGGGCCATAAAGCTGGAAGTCTGTGTCCTGACTTTTGGTATGATGAGGACATGGCTGCCAGAGGAGCGCAGGGACCGAGAAGGCTCATATTTCAGAAGAAGTTCTGAGAGATAAGAAGGCCCAAGACAAATTATTAAGACTATTAAGACTTTCCAGGAAACACTGGAAAGATTAAAAACTAATTAGAAAATATAAAATAACAAAGAGCTAATATAAATTGTAATAAGTAAATGATGTAAATAGAAAATAATAAAAATAAAATAGATATATAGTAAAACTCTGATAAAATGTAATCAAGTAAAATTAATCAAGCAATAAAAACAGACTATAAAAAATGATAATTAGTTCAAAGCTAAACTAAAAAGGTGAGCCTTGAGCCTGCTCTTGAAAACATAAATGTTCTCTGCGGCCCCGAGGTCCACCGGCTGCCCGTTCCAGAGACAGGGGCCACAAAAATGGAATGACGCCTTGCCAAATGTGTTGGTTTTAACTTTAGAAATGACCAGAAGATGGCTGCCAGCGGAGCGCAGAGGTGGCTATGTTTCATAATGTAAAAGCAATTCATTGAGATAAGAAGGCCCAAGACCAATAAGACATTTAAAAACCATTAAAAGAATCTAAAATTGATCCTTAAACGTAACGGGAGCCAATGCAATGGTTCTGAAACTAGAGTGATGTGCTCCCACTTTTTGGTCTTTGTCAGGACATGTGCTGCTGATTCTGTAAAAGTTTCAAGCCTGAGCTACTCTTCTTGGGAAAACCAGAAAGCAGGGCATTGCAATAATTAATTGTACGGGTGTTAAAAGCATTCATCAGCGCCTCCGTATTGGCCAGAGAGAGAATGGGGCAGACTCTGGCAATATTCTTCAGATGATAAAAACATATGTTAGTAATATTTTTAATGAGGAATAAAATTGTGCTAAGATTCAAAACCCACACCCAGGTTCTTCACTTGTGTAGAAATATTAAAATACAGTGATTGTAGTTTTGGTAAAAGTTTCTCTCTCTGGGCCTCAGCACCAACTACTAAAACTTTAGTTTTGTCCTGGTTGAGAAAGTTTTCTGCCATCCAGTATTTGCTGTCTAAATGCAGCTTAAAAGTGTATTAATTCAAGTGTCATTAGGAGACATGGAGATGTACAACTGTGAATTATCAGCATAACTGTGAAAGTTCACCCTGTGTATCTTGGTGACACAGCCCAGAGGGAGCATATAGAGGTTAAAAAGGACTGGGCCTAAAATTGAACCCTGGGGCACACCATATGGGGCCCCTGAGACAATCCACCACATAACTGCAGGATGTAAGATGCTGGCAGGGAAAGCATACATGGAACGCCACGACCAATTGGCTGATATTGTGTACAGAAACATCTGTGTTGAGTACAGACTGGAAGCCCCAAGGTCAAAGTGGTTGACACAACTTAAGGTGGTTGAGATCGAGAGAGCCAAGTTCCTGTTGGGACTTCCAGATCCAGACTGACAAAATGGTGATGGCAAACCAACCAGACGTTGTGGTGGTGGACAAACAACGAAAGACAGCCGCAACATCAGGAAAATGGAACACGAGAAACTAAAGAAGTACCAGGGCCTCGAAGAAGGACTTGAGAAAGCCTGGAGAGTGAAGACATCGATGGTGCCCGTGGTCATCAGGGCACTGGGAACAGTAACCCCCAGACTGGAGGAGTGGCTGAAGCAGATCCCATATATAAACATAAACATGTTTAAGAGTAGTAGTAAAAGAGTAGTAATCACCTTTTACATGTTTTCCTTCAGGGAAGGCTTCCGTTTTTCTTCTCAAGAAGCAGCATCCAGTTTTGGAGATGACAGGCTTTTGATAGAGAAGTACATAGACAACCCCCGACACATAGAGATCCAGGTATGGCCACTCTACTCACATGCTTGGTTAGATGTTCAACACAAAAAAAATCAGAGCATGCCAAAGAAAAACAGCAGTAAATATCTTTATTTTGAGACATACTGTCAACAAACACCACTCAACCCGACCCAGGTGATGAGCATGTCTTGTTCACTCAGATTGTAACGTGCTGTCCATAACAAAATATCACAGATTGTTATATTTTTGGAGTGTTTTAATGTGAGCTGTTTATTATGGGCTATAAAATGTAAAACCTGTTGTAGGTGTTGGCTGATAAACATGGTAACGTGCTGTGGCTTAACGAGAGAGAGTGCTCCATTCAGAGGAGGAACCAGAAGGTGGTAGAAGAAGCTCCCAGGTATGTCTGCAAAACCAAAACTTGACCACAGTGACCCCCTAACTTAGCCTAATCCTGACCCTGACCTAACACAAATAGTGCTGTTGAACTTCGTGGTTTCAAAAATGCTCAAATGTACTTTTATTCTTACAAAACTGCACCAAAATATAAAACTTATGTGCTGCTTTAAAAAAAGGAAAATGGCAATCACAACAACGTCAGAAGCAAACAGATATTAGTGTTTCAAAGGCCAGTTTGTAGACACAAATCACAGGTTACAGGGCTTTATTTATTTAAGTCACCATTCTAAGAAATCAAGGTCACCATACAATAAAAAGGTGAATTAAAACGTTAAAACAAGCACAAGAAAACTTCAGTACAGTACATACAACTAGATTTTTCTCCTAAATCAGAGGTTTGATTATCAGACTTTTTAAATAGTGGAACCACCAGCACCAGCGTAAAGGACCCGCAGATCAAATTATTTTCTGATATCTTAGAGAACTCTGACAACCCTAAGACTTTTCTTAATACAATTGATGGTATTTTAAATGTTAGCGAACCATTGGCCTCAGAAATGCAACCTGACACATGTTAAAGGTTTGCTTCCCTTTTCTGGACAACGTTAAAATGGCTAAGGCTGGGTGCTTGATTCCATTTCACGATCCCTCTGTTTAGAGTCCTGCAGTTGATTCCCTTGAGGCTTTTAATCCCGTTTCTATAGCTGAGCTGCACAAAATGGCACGAGATATGAAACCACCTGGTTCCCCTAAATATATTTTACCTACTAGGCTTCTAAAGGATGCATTTTATTTACTTGGATTACTAGTTTTGAATATTCTGAATAGTAGCCTCCTGCTGAGTCATACCTTGCTTGTTTAAACATGCTGGTGTGAATCCCCTCCTAAAGATATTTGGCCTTGACTCATCAGTATTAGCCAATTATAGGCCTATCACTAAATGTCAAGGACTTGGAGGTTGTATAGGACCCAAAATGCTGGAAAATCTAGGAGTCAGTCAGGTAGGTTAAAGGTCCAAAAGTTTATTATAAAGTTGTGGTGGAACAGAAGCAGGAACAGGCACAGACAGGTGAAAACATGAGGAGCAAAAACTAACACAGGGATGCAAACAGACACAAGGAACCGACCAGGAGCTATGAAGAGGTGAGTGAAGACCAATGAAGCAGGTGCACTGATTACTGATGAGAATGACCAACAGGTGTGACTGGTAAGCAGAGATGGGAGGCAATTCAAAAACACAAGAGGACTGAACCAGATAAAACTGTAAGGCCTAGTCCACACGTAGCCGGGTTTATTTAAAAACGAATATCCGCCCCTCCAAAAACTTGCATCCACACCACCTCGTTTTAATAAAAAACTCTGTCCACACGTACCTGGATAAATACATTGTTAAGGCCATGCCAGACCTGTAGGCGGCAGTACTTCCCCCGTTCTTAACCTCATCCTTCGTCTGTGGTCTTCTGCAAGGAGCAGTAATTCCGCTTGCAAAAACAAACAAGCAAAAAGCTCTTGGACAATTGATAAAGTGAGCGCAGCTCTGAGGGCCTCCATGCTGTCGGCTAGTGTAAACGATGGTGTAAACACGGGTCGCACACGTGATGTCAGCATTTTTTTGTCGCGACGTTGCGGACCTTAAAACTCCGGTTTTGTCCGTCCACACGCAGACACCCAAAACGGAGAAAACGCAGATCTTCACTTTGGCCGGAGTTTTTAAAAAGATCCGTTTTCGTGTGAAAAAACTTCGTTTTCGTGTGGATGACAGGCCAAAACGTAGAAAAATATCTACGTTTTGGCAGATCCCCGGCTACGTGTGGACAGGGCCTAAGACTCTAGAACTAAATGCTGAAAGAATACACTAATGGATGACTAAAAGCAAACAGAATTTAATAATAGAAAACAAAACTACAACTAAACTAGATTGGTAGGAGAATGACTGAAGAAAAACACAACCAAGTAAGAAATCCAACAGGGCTGGGGCAGATAAGTGGCTAAAGATATTGAGGCTGGGAATGAATGAATCAATCTAAGGAACTGGAAATCTGGAGGGAGAACACATGGAATGGACTAGGGAGATGGGATATGGAACGGACACAGGACCTAGGGTGACATGAACCGGGGACTGGACATGACACTAAATTGCCTTTTTTGTCAAAAACCTTTTGAGAAAATTGTGCATGAGCAGTTATTGACATGTATTCACAAGTGGGGCATCATGGATGAGTTTCAGGCCTAGTCCACACGTAGCCGGGGTTTTTTAAAAACGAATATCTGCCCCTCCAAAAACTTGCATCCACACCACCTCGTTTAAAAAAAAACTCTGTCCACACGTACCCGGATAAATACGTTGTTAAGGACATGCCAGACCTGTAGGCAGCAGTACTTCCCCCGTTCTTAACCTCGTCCTTCGTCTGTGATCTTCCGCAAGGAGCAGTAATTCCACTTGCAAAAACAAACAAGCAAAAAGCTCTTGGACAATTGATAAAGTGAGCGCAGCTCTGAGGGCATCCATGCTGCCGGCTAGTGTAAACACAGGTCGCATATGTGATGTCAGCTTTTTTTTGTCGCGGAAAGTGACGTTGCGGACCTTAAAACTCCGGTTTTGTCTGTCCACACGCAGTCACCCAAAACGGAGAAAACGCAGATCTTCACTTTGGCCGGAGTTTTTAAAAAGATCCGTTTTCGTGTGAAAAAACTCCGTTTTCGTGTGGATGACAGGCCAAAACGTAGAAAAATATCTACGTTTTGGCAGATCCCCGGCTACGTGTGGACAGGGCCTCAGTCCGGCTTCAGGACCCATCATAGCACGGAAACTACTCTGTTGATGGTTCTGAACAATTTTTCGGGCTACTGATACAGGGGATACAGTACCGCCATTACTTCTAGACATATTAACTAAAATAAAGCAATTCACATTAATATGTGGTTGATTCCATTTTATGAATTATCAATTTAGGCCAACAACGACTGTTCATGAGCTTTGGCAAGCTGTGTCAGCTTTGTATTGGAGGCTGCTTCAGTGCTGAGTGCACAGATTAAGGAGTACTGAGGATGAGTTAACGTAGATTATACAGACCTGATGTTGAACAGAGAAACACCTTCAGTAACCAATTCTGGCGAGAGCAAAGTCATATCTGCATTAATTTCTTGTTAACACCAATTCTCTTAAAGGTGACAAAGAAGGCAGTTTATCAGCAATCTAAAACTCTGCTTTGAATCTCTAAGAAGCATAAGAAAATTTCTTTAGGCTTTCATCTGTCCCAGGAGCCCTGATACAAGCCATTCTAAACTCTAAAGAGCTGTTTACCCCTCCCACTTGGTCAGGACATGAATATGCTAATGAGCTGCTTGCTGATTGGCTGGTTTAAACCAGAAGGCCTCAGACACTAGAGACTGCAGATTGGAGGAGGAAGAGCACCACATTGTGACATTTCTATTAGAGATTTCTCAGAAAACTGCATGAAAGCACTATTATTACAGGCCATTTATTACACTTCATAACTCTTTTCTAGTGGTTTTAGAGAAGGATTATTTTTAGTTAAAATTAAGTGAAATAAATTGTTAGTGATGCAATGACAGTGATTAGTCATTTAGAGTTTTGTTTTGTTTTATCTTATCTTTTATTTGATTCATAGTTTAACAGTGGAATAGTTAACTTTAGGCTGCTTGTGTACTAGGAAGTGTCAGTTTTGGCATTTTCACATGGCCCGGTCTGGTCTTGGTAGCATTGGCCCATTCCCGCTTGGCCAGATTTTGTTCACACCATAATGCCTGCCTTCTCAGGTGCGCGGTTGTCTCCGAGCATGTCAGCGAGGAAAAGGTCGCATGGAGAAGTCCGTGTTGTCCTACTTAAGTTTGTGTGCTGTGTTGCTTTTGGATACTCTGATATGAAGCACTTGGCGTTCTACATTCTTACTGAGAATGCTATGTGCTCCTCACAGCAGTCTGCCTTTGCAAGGCTGCAGCTGCAGCTGTGGTTCTGAGCAGCAGTCCGAGAACTTGTTTACTCCACTGCATCCAGACTGATAATGAATGGCGCATGCTAGAAATCACTGCTGGCTGACTCTACCCACCAATCAGAAGCTCCCTCTCGTACCGTATTTTCCGACTATAAGTCGCACTTTTTTTTCATAGTCTGGCCGGTTCTGCGACTTATACTCCGGAGCGACTTATATACCAAATTATGTAGGCTATACCATGCTGTTGTGGGCTGGCTCTGGACCAGGAATGAGCTCTCCTGCCCCACTGGGAATAAAGAACACAGCCATCACCTGCTGGAGCCTGTTGCGTGCCGTTGCACACTGGATCCGGCCCAGGTTTCAGCTCCTCTGCCCCGCCATCACCTGCTGCAGCCTGTGGTGCGCTGCTGCGGGCTGGCTCCGACCCAGGAATGAGCTCCCCTGTTCCGCTGGGAGGGCTTCAAACACCGTCATCCTCTGCTGGAGACCGTGGCACGCTGCTGCGCCCTGATTGTTTATTCTGTTATTGCTACTGGTACTTGTCTTGCAACGTGAAATGCTTGGTCTCAGATTTTGTAAGAAAATAATAAAATTTACCCCAAAATGCGACTTATAGTCCAGTGCGACTTATATATGTTTTTTCTTCTTCGTTATACATTTTGTGGCTGGTGCGACTTATACTCCGGAGCGACTTATACCCTGGAAAATACAGTAGGTAGGCGTGAACGTCAGCCAGCCTATCAGTTGGTAATGGGTGTGTCGGGTAGAGGTTGCATGACTTAATTTTTTTTTAAGTCGACCGTCAAGTAATGAAAATCGAGTCGACTTCGACTAGTCGTTGATGACGTCACACACCTGAAGCGGCTAAAACTGACGATGGGTGGCCAAGCATTTTTTTTCCGATGCAGGGGTGGTTGTTTCCCTGGAGTTTTTGACAATTAAAATTGCGCCCACATTTTCTACGTTAACACAGATTTCTTTTAACAACGGTAGTTTCTGCATGTTGCTTCAGCCCTCTCCCCCCTCCCCCTGCGCAGCGGTCGCAAACTCACTGGTGCGCCTGCAGCCTCTCAGAGTTTCTGCTGCTCTAAACATTAAAATAATTATTTCATTTTCTGTTCCTCACTTCTGATTACCTTCAGTGATGTCTATTTGTTGCAACCACCAGGTACAAAAACGAACTTTACTATTTTTCTGTCCTGTCTCTGTTTATTATCTTCCTGCATCTCCTCTCAATCCTCAAGAAAAACTGCTACATGGCTGCACAAATAAAAGACAGAAAACATAAAAGGAAATGAGCTGACATAAACAATCGCATGTTAAATTTGTTTTTGAGGTGGCAACGCCTAATTTGATAATGTTATTGTGGCCGTGCTCAGGACGCAGATGTCTGGTGAGCGTCAACGATCAGAGCTTTGCATGCGCAAGCTGGTTAAGATTAGGATGGGGGTGAGGGGAAGCTTAAATTGCAAGAGGGTAAAGGTCACAATTCGGTCAAATGTCCGTTTTACAGCGGGCGTCAGATACCGACGCGCTGTGCCAGCACGTCGCCTCCCAACGCGCAGGGGCTGGACACCTGCTGTCTTTTCGGAGGACTGCATCTTGTGGGTCATTATCACGTGACAGCGACTAGTCGATGAAAGGCATAAAAAGTCACTACAGAGCAGGGAAGTCGACTAGTTTATGCAACCCCTAGTATCGGGTCAGTTCCACACGAAGCGCACCACCAGGTAGCAGGTCCGAAAAATCCTGTCAGCTGAGCACGGAAAACGCTCAGATTACCCAGAAATAAACGCATTTACCTTACCAGGGCTGGGCCGGGCCGACCCAGATGTGAAAGCCTTATTTAGGTTAACCTGCATGTTAAGCTTCTGCTACCTGCAAGAGATCACTTTGGTTCCACCACTGTTCTTTCTTTAGTATGTTCCTCGATGCTGACACTCGACGGGTGATGGGCGAGCAGGCAGTGCAGCTGGCCAAAGCTGTGAAGTACTCTTCTGCTGGGACAGTGGAGTTTCTGGTGGATTCGAAGAAAAACTTTTATTTCCTGGAAATGAACACGCGACTCCAGGTGTGTGTGGATGGTTTGCTGAGGTCATTGTCACATGATGCTGGGTCCATTCTCGAGTAGTTATGAGGTTTACAAAGCACACAACAAGAGTATTCTCAAGGCACTTCAGAAGGCAAACACACCAAATGAACCTTCTTATCAGTGCATTAAATTCAGTTCATTATGCCAATAAGTAAGAAGTTTCTCATGTAAGAAAACCCAACAGATTGCATGAAGTCACCAACTTGTAGCTAAGCACCAGTCTCAGAGGCCTGAAACACAATCAGTTGTATTTCTTGTAGAAATGCTGTTTGAATACTGATTGATTAGCAAAATGTAGTTCAAGATTTGGGAGCAAAAATCAATAACGCATTGTAATATAGCAAAACAGTAGGTGAAGAATGGCGAAGACGGTCCTTAACAGCAGAAAACAGAAATCTCTGAACTTGAGAGAAAAACTGAAAGTTGAAACAGTTTAAAGGTGTGGTTCACTGAAAAAAAAAGTTTTTTTTTATTATTATTTTGGATTATTTTAGTTTTTCATGTAGGCTTAACATGAAAATGGTCTACTACAGCTATCCCCTGCATCACCTTTTGATTGAAAATAACCTCTTGGATTAGAAAAGCCTGACAGGTCTGTGTCTCATGGTCAGTTAACGTTCATGGATTCATTCGTCTTTACTCGCCACAGGTGAAAGCTGTTATTGTTTTAGCATCCAGAAAATAGTAGCAAACATCTTGACCAGTAGAAGCTAACTGTTCGCATTAGCAACTCCGCTATATGGCAGAACTCCTTCAGACTCGTGTTATTTGGGGAGATAAAACATCAGTGTTGCAGAGAAAACAGAGTCTGTGGTATAGTTGTGTTGCTGTTATTCAGTTTGAGGCAAAATGTCTAAATATCAGGAAATAAGAGTCCAAATCCTGCCCTCTGAAGCTACTTTATTCTCCACCTGACTTCTACCTCCTGAAACAGGAACTTACAAGGCATTCATTTCTGCAAGAGACCACTGCAAATGTATTGATTAAATGAGTGTTCAACATCTTTAAACAGCTGGCCAGGGAAGCGTCCAGGAGGCATCCTAACCAGATGCCCGAGCCACCTCAACTGGCTCATCTCGAAGTGGAGGAGCAGTGGATCTACTCTGAGCCCCTCCCAGATGACCGAGCTTCTCACCCTATCTCTACAAGAGAGCCCAGCCACCCTCACAACTCATTTCGGCCGCTTGTATCCGCGATCTTATTCTTTCGGTCACTACCCAAAGCTCGTGACTATAGGTGAGGGTAGGAACATAATTTGACCCTATTTTTATACCAAATTTGATGAAATGGCAAAACTTTTTTTAGAAGTGCCCCAAACATTTTACTGAAACAGAATAATGAAGAAGAAAAAATTAAGAGAAACAGGATCACTATAGTTCAATAAAATTCTTCAATATTCGGTAACACTTTACAATAAGGGTCCCTTTATTAACGTTACTTAGTGCGTTATTATGCATTCATAAACCATTAAAGTATTCTTATATTATTATAACCAGCTATGTGGCCTAGTGGTAGAGTGTTCGCCCTGGGACTAGGAGATCGGGGTTCGATTCCCAGTCGGATCATACCAAAGACTTTAAAAATGGGACTCAATGCCTCCCTGCTTGACACTCAGCTTTAAGGGGTTGGATTTGGGGGGTTAAACCACCAAATGGTTCTCGAGCGCAGCCATCGCTGCAGCTCCCCTCTCCCCTCCATGGGGATGGGTCAGATGTGGAAATTAATTTCACCATTGTGTGATTATGACGACTATGGGACTTTAACTTTAACTTAATTAAAACCTGCTTAATATTAATATTAGTATTAAGTAATGAATTACTAAGCACTCCCATGGCCTTTTGTCCTAACCTTAAAGAGCAAGTCACCATGTACCAGTCTTACGCCACTCCCACTTCCTGTTTGAAAAAAGCAACAAAAGCTGTTGTCTGGCAGACTGAGAGGGTGGAGCCACTAACAAATACACACACACACACACACACACACACACACACACACACACACACACACACACACACACACACACACACACACACACACACACACACAGGCTCACAATGACATGACATCGTAATGTACCAGCTAACATCATAGTGTACCTCATCAGCCAATAGCGATGGCAGATTTAAATTCAAATGCAGTGCACCTGATGACGGCACAACCCCGACAGTTTTAGGCAGAATATTTAAATTCTAACTAAGATGCACTAAAGTGCCAAATTATTGACTGCGCGTGTCTACAGCATGCTTAGACACTCATTTATACAGTTTATCAGCAAAAAACACGTTGATTTGGGGTGACTTGCTCTTTAAGGACACTAAATACTATACCTGTCTAATAGTTAACTATTTATGAACTGGGAACAATAATTAAGGGATTCTTTGTTTACTAATGCTTAGTAAGGCACAAGTAATGTTAGTAAAAGGACCCTTATTGTAAAGTTTTGGTACTCACTGGGCTCCAGCTTTTGGCAGCTAGCTGGAGACACAAGCTGTGGGAAAATAAGTAAATTTAAAATAATCATTCAAGTTTTATATTTTGGGTTGGTCCCTTTATGCCTTCAGTCACGAAATTTTCTTGAACAGGTATGCCTCACAGGTAGGGGTGGGAATTGATAAGTTTTAATCAATATCAATGGCATTATTGATTCTATCTGTCGATCCAATTCCTTATCAATTCCAGAGTAGTTAAACAGGTGGCAAAAAATAGCGCACGGCTCCTGCTATATAACTGTCAGCTTCTTTATGATAAATAATCAATTGTACCTGTATTGTTTGGAAAGATCTTTCCTAATGTTCTCCTTTATGCTCGCTGTGAAGGCAGTCGTCTTGTTCAGTGCAGTGTTGCTGTAGCTTTTGTAGAGTGGGTAAAATCTCATCACAGGTCAGACCTTTGTTGCTGGAGTCTGCTAGTGTGGAGATGTATATATAAGGTAAATGACGCTAACATGATAGGCAGTGTTAGTTGATTAGTTATCTGTAGTATTAACAGGAGAGGACGTATGAACGTCACTGCTGCTGCTGCGCTGAAATTCACAAGTCCAGAGCAGGTCTAAACACATCAATAACTTTAAGTCATCACTTATTTTTGGCCTAAAGGCTTTTGGGTATTCATAATGCTTCCTCCCTTGTTGAAATATCTACTTTGCAATTGCCCTGTTGTCATCCTTTCTTGTGATGTATAACCAAACTTTTGAGTGGTGTTGCCGCTTAGACACCCCATTTCCTGCTTCTGTAAGCCACGCAACGTCTGCGGTGACGTCATTCGCGCTGACTGGAATTGATGAGGGGAATCGTTTGCAAAAGGGGCGAATGACTTCTAGGAATTGAAACAATTGATTCCCAACCCTACTCACAGTGTCTTAAATATTAATTTTATATCTATTAAAATTGACCCCAATTGTATTTACAAATCTGTCACCAGCCCCTCTCTAGGATGTCTTTTAAATGTTATAACAAAAACAAAGTCCTGCAACTTGTGGTGAAACAGACTGCATTTAAAAATGTTTGGAGACTCCTTAGAAACTCCTGTAAATGTTACCAGGAGCAGCAGTCCGGGGAGAAGATGGCTATAGCTCAGACCCTAAATGAGATTCATGTTTAACTATCATACTTCTAGAAAGTCACAATGTAACTTCTATGTTTGAACTTTACCATCAGGTGGAACATCCAGTTACGGAGTGCATTACTGGCCTGGACCTGGTGGAGCAGATGATCAGGATTGCTAAGGGTTATCAGCTACAGCAAAAACAGGAAGACATCCCAATAAATGGCTGGGCCATTGAGAGCCGTGTCTATGCAGAGGTTTGTGTGTGTGCATGAATGTGTGTGTAGAGGAAAACTTGTGACCAGAAAAAAACTTGATGAATGTCTGATGTTTTTATTTATAAAAATGTCCAAAATTTTAATACCGTAAATCCTCAAATATTAGCCTGTATTTAATTAACTGCCGGGTCTCATATTTTGGCTGGTGTCTGAGTCGGCGGAGATGAATAATGGCCGTTTTTTTTATTGTGGCCGGGTGGAATGTGGTAACAAGCAAGGACAGGGGGGCGGTTGTGTCATCCGTCTCGCTTTTGATTTGCCAGTGATAGACCGCGAGGGTAACTTTAACCATGCGGAGACGAAGAGGAGGCGAAAATTTGATATCAAGTTCAAAGAGAACATGCTGATTATGCTGCAGAACACTCTGGGGAGCAGTAGGGGTTGTATGAATTAGTCACTAGACGACTTCACCGCTCTATAGTGACTTTTTATGCCTGTCATCGACTAGTCGCTGTCACGTGATAATGACCGGCAAGATGCAGTCCTCGGAAAAGACAGCAGCCTGCTGTCAGCAGGTGACAAGCTCCTGCGTGTCGGGAGCCAACGCGCTGTGCCAGAGCGTCGGTACTGACACCTGCCGTAAAACGGACATTTAACCAAATTGTGACCTTTACCCTCTTGCAATTTAACCTTCCCCTCACCCCCATCCTAACCTTAACCAGCTTGCGCATGCAAAGCTCTGATTGTTGACGCACTCCAGACATCTGCGTCCTGAGCACGGCCACAGTAACATTATCAAATCAGGTGTCGCCACCTCAAAAACTAATTTAACACGTGATCGTTCATGTCGGCTCATTTCCTTTTATGTTTTCTGTTTTTTATTATTTTATTTGTGCCTGATGCTTTTCACTGCTGCGGATCAGTGCGCATCACCTGTTTTGTCCTCGGTCACACACCTAACTGATGTGGCCGGCAAGCAGCGAGCACTCCACTGTTTTTGCGGTCGGTAGTTCTTTTAGAACTGCAGTTCAAAGGTAACTCATGAGGTGAATATATATGAACCCAGGTAGCAGTTTTTCTTTAGGATTGAGAGGAGACGCAGGAAGATAATAAACAGATACAGGACAGAAAAATAGTCAAATAAAAACAAGTTAGTTTTTGTACCTGGTGGTTGCAACAAACAGACACCATTGAAGGTAGTCAGAAGTGAGGAACAGAAAATGAAATAATTATTTTAATGTTTAGAGCAGCAGGAACTCCGAGAGGCTGCAGGCGCATCAGTGAGTTTGCGGCCGCTGCGCAGGGGGAGGGAGGGGGCTGAAGCAGAAACTACCGTTGTTAAAAGAAATGTGTTTAACTTTGAAAATGTGGGCGCAATTTTAATTGTCAAAAACTCCAGCGAACCGTTAGTTCATTTTGCTCAAATAGAAATTGAGGCCTGCCTCTAATTCTGGTCCTCCTTCCAATAAAGGCCTGGAGCTTGATGAGCTTGAGTCAAATACAGGATTTACGGTATCTAAAATTGATACTACTTGAATTGAACATAACTATATATCCAGAACCAGAAATAGTTACACTCCAAACTCAACTATGGCCAAGACCAAAGAGACACTAGAAACTAAATTATAGACCAGGGGCCTCATTTATAAAGCTTGCTTATGCACAAAACGGGGTCGGAAAACTGCGTAAGCAACTGTCCCTGCAAACTTAGCGGAAAAATGTGTGCAACTTTTATTTGACTAAGGACCTGGCTTACGCACATTCTGGACATGGAGAGCACCTGCAGTGCTGCTGCTGAGAAGATACAATTATGAATTCCAGCAGCATTATCACTTGTACCACTTGTACTGCTCTGTGCGCACACAGAACAAGCCCCCCCTCAATTTCTGCTTCGGTGAAATTGCGCTTCCTTCATCTGCGGTCACCGGCGTTAATGGCAGAGCGCAGCAACGAGCCAGCTTATGTATATGCAGAGATTTCTGCTGTTGTGTATTTTGGCAAGACTCTTAACTATGGGGAGAAAAAAAGTATCAAAACATCTGTGTGTGTGTGTGTGTGTGTGTGTGTGTATCTTATTATGTGTGTGTGTAACTAAAGATTTGTGTGTGTGTGTGTTTGTGTGTGTGTGTGTGTGTGCGTGCGTGCGTGCGTGCATAGATAAATCACCTGGTACACACGGACAAAACTACATTGCACACATCTCTCCATCATCTCTCCGGTCGGTAACAAGATGGCGCCTGTGCTTGGCTTAGCCGCGGTCACCGGCCACTATTTCAAACTTTTCTCCACTAACCTCCTCTTTTCCACCTTGCTCCTGTCTGAGATCCTCTTCAGTAGTCTCCCTGCTACCATCTCCTATGATCGCCAGACTCTTTTGTCCTTCCGTTCGTTCACGATCGCCCAATATGCACCAAGGACGTACCTCCCTGTTTGTTTATCTGAGTGGCGCACTGGCCCGGAGCCAAACGACGCTTCCAACCAGGGCGCCTCCAGCGATGTTTATCCGGTCCCGGGAAAACGTCGGAGGAAAAGAGGTAAACGAGCAGGAATCCAGGTAAGAATAAGACTTCTCTTAAAGCGTGGTTTATCTAGTAAACATTGGCGTGATCTTCTAGCTTCTTGTCCTTTGTTTGGTGACCTGAGCGCCACTTCCGCATTCCCTCCAGGCCGCGTTGCGGCTCGGTTTCTCCGTCCAAGTTTTTTAAGGTCGGTTTATCCTCATTCCTCAGTGGTTTCTCCTCCTGTTCCCTCCGTAAGTGGTTTTTATAAACACCGTGGATCTAACCCTGCTAATTTACGTCCACTAACTCCAGCTGTTTCTGTAGTTTCTGATTCCTCCACCTCACTCAGCATGGCTCTATTAAATACCCGCTCTGTTAACACAAGTCCTTCCTGCTCAGTGATTTAATTATCTCTAAAAACCTGGATTTTCTGTTTCTGACTGAAGTTTGGCAGCAAACATCTGATTATTCTGGTCTGATTGAACTTTGCCCGAGTGGTTATTCTTTTCTTAGCCAGCTCCGGGGTTCTGGTCATGGTGGAGGCCTAGCTGTCGTTTTCAGAGACCATCTTCCATGTAGCTCTACAACCTCTGGTCACTTTGCTTCTTTTGAACTGCAGCTGATTAAAGTCGGGCGTAAGGACCCGTTCTACTGTGCTGTGGTTTATCGTCCACCTGGTCCAAACAGTTCTTTCCTTCAGGAGTTTAGTGACTTTCTATCCTCCACTGTGAAGCTGTCCAGACTGGTGATTGTTGGTGATTTTAACATCCACGTTGATGATCCCTCTGATCTCTTTGCCATGAATTTCTCCAGCCTCATGGACTCCTTCAGCTTTACCCAGCATGTTTCTGGCCCCACACACACCAGGGGGCACACTCTAGACCTTGTTTTTACCCTGAGTCTAAATGCTGACAGTGTTTGTCCTGAGGGCATTTATAATTCTGATCACCATTGCATTTTCTTTAACTTGTCAGTTTCTGCGTCCCTACCTCCTGCTCGCCGTATGGTTAGTTCTCGTTTTCTTAACGGAAGCACAGCTAGCAATTTTTCTGCTGTTTTTGATCCACCCTGTTCTTCTGAAAACGACCCAGATTCCGTAACTTCTCAGTTTAACGAGCACTGCCTCTCCATTCTGGACAACATCTGTCTTGTCAGAACCAGATCAGTTCATGCAGTGAACCCTACTACCTGGTTTAATGACAGCCATTGCAGCCTGAAGTGCCAATGCAGAAAAATTGAGCGCTTGTGGAAGAAAACCCATCTCCACATCCATCTGCTGCACCTAAAGGATCTTCTGACATCCTTTAACTCTGCAGTCAGAGTTTCCTATTTTTCCAACCTGGTGTCCCAGAGCAAAGGGAACCCCAAGGTGCTGTTTAACACCATCAGCAGCATCGTCTCTCCTGCCTCTCCTACAGCCTCCATCCGCTCTGTTGCAGACTTTGAGAACTTTCTGTCTTTCTTTGTGGACAAAGTCAATAAGGTTAGATCTAGCATCTCTCCTTCCGCCTTATCGCTGCCTCTCCCGACTCCAACCAGGCCCATCATCCTAGATAGCTTTGCTCCTGTTTCTTTGCCTGAGATAACCAAACTAGTTAACTCTATGAAGACCTCTGCATGCCCCCTCGACATCTTACCCTCATCTTTGTTTAAAAGTGCTTTTCAGTCCATCGGTCCCAGCGTGCTCTCCATTATTAACGTTTCTCCGGTTTCTGGTCAGGTCCCTGCTTACTTAAAGAATGCTGTAATCCACCCACTTCTTTAAAAACCGAGTCTTGACCCCTCTCTCCATAGCAGCTTCAGACCCATCTCTAAACTTCCGTTCATCTCCAAGATCTTGGAAAAGGTTGTGGCTAAACAACTCACAGCTGCTCTTGATGAACATAACATCTATGATAGCTTCCAGTCAGGTTTTCGTAGAGCTCATTCTACTGAAACAGCTCTTCTTAGTGTCTCTAATGACCTTCTGACTCACATTGATGCAGGGGACTGTTCTGTTCTGGTCCTGCTGGACCTGACTAAAGCCTTTGACACTGTTGACCATCACCTGCTACTGGAGAGGCTGAGAGACTTGGTAGGCCTATCTGGATCTGCTCTGGAGTGGTTCTCTTATCTTTCTGAGCGCTCTTTTTCTTTGGCCGTCTCAAAGTTTAGGTCCTCCACCACCTCCCTTACCCATGGTGTCCCACAAGGTTCTGTGCTGGGGCCTCTGCTCTTCCTCCTCTATCTGCTTCCTCTTCAGCACATCCTGAGCTCCTTCAAAGGAATCTCCTACCATCTTTATGCAGATGACATCCAACTGTACATCTCCTTTAAGCCCCATGAGATGTCTAAGCTGCAGCTGCTACACACCTGCTTAGACTCCTTTAAAACCTGGATGGCTGGGAGCTTTCTACAGCTGAATGAACATAAGACTGAGATCCTCATCTGAGCCCCAGACAAGCTGGTTCCCAAAGTCAGAGACTCTCTTGGTCAGCTTGCTTTTCACACCAGACCTTCCGTCAGGAATCTTGGCGTGACCTTTGACCCAGCTCTCAC